GGTGAGTGCAGGTGGGTCTGTCATGAGTGCAGGTGGGTCCATCATGAGTGCAGGTGGGTCTGTCATTGAGTGCAGGTGGGTCCATCATGAGTGCAGGTGGGTCTGTCATTGAGTGCAGGTGGGTCCATCATGAGTGCAGGTGGGTCTGTCATGAGTGCAGGTTGGTCCGTCATGAGTGCAGGTGGGTCTGTCATGAGTCCAGGTGGGTCTTGGTGAGTGCAGGTGGGTCCGTCATGAGGTGCCCTCGCTGGATGGGTGCACCGCTTGAAGCCCGCCGTGGCCGATTCGACAAACGGACACGAGACATTTCACCTCTCTCAAGGCCTCAGATGATAACGATGCAGACGGTCCACATTTTCAGTCATGAGTGTGTTTTCCTGCTGCAAGCTAGAGAAGCATTGCAAGCAACATGGAGAGCACAATGCTGCAGCAGTTCAGACCAGCGGGGCTGCTATCGCAGCAGAGAGCAGTCTGCTGACGCGAATTATTTGTTATGTGAAATAAAGCATGCTAAGCGGACAAATATTGACGAGCAGCATCATGGAAAAAATCCACTGAACTTTCCAGCGCCGTCAAAAAAGTCACCGTGTCCCCACGGTCAAATGAGCCGGCGAATGTCATGGCCTCCTTTGCATGGTGGGGACCAGTCTTTCGTGAAGACTTTCACTGATGATGCCCCACAAAACGGTACCCCTTCATGAGGTGGTACTTATTTTAGCAACCCTGGAAGTAAACATGAAGCCTAAACGTCACTCTGCGAGACAAATCAAACTCCAGCAGGGGTTTTCGGGATTCCAAATCTATTGCATGTGGAAGCATTTGCTGTAGAGTAGCAGTCTGTGTACAGGGGCTGCTGCGTTAAGGTCGGCCCCTAAGAGTCATGTGACCATACCGCTTTTTTCCAGGGACAATTGTATGAAGGTGGCCTTGTGTGTGCATAGACCGTGTCTCGTAATGACCTTAGGAGACCGCTCTCCAAGATGGGCTATTGTTTCCCTTTCACTCAACTCAATGTCCTTTATTTAACCAGCTGAGGGGTGCCTGAGAATGTATTATCTCTTTTGTGAGTGGTGACCTTGGTAACCATGGTTACGTAGGGACGGTTTTTTGTAATGCAATGTGGTTTTAATGAGTCTTATACTGCACCACCATTAAAACACGCTTTACCGCCGCTCCTCATTCCCATCGCCATCATCGGCCATCAACTGTCCGAGGCCTTCCTGGTCGCACTCTTGTCTCGGCGGGTTGTCCGCTTCAAACGCACGTGCATATTAAAAACACAAAACGACGTCCTCATTCCTGGTCTTTACTGAATGTTTGTAAAGGGAGTTGCCTGGGTGGTGCATTCAAACGTCTCAGGTTCAACCCAATCCACACAGCAAGCCCCAGCGAGACTCCCCCCATCCCCACGTTCAAATGCCAGGCTCCCACTCAAGAGATGGAGCCACTACAGTGGACCGGAATAAGAGCACGATGAGATGGGGAGGTGGATGCGAGCCCGTTGGAGGGATTTTTGAAAAGCCCAACTTTGAAAAGTACCGTTATTTACTGTAGCGATGCTGCACCGTTTAATAGTAGCTTGAGAATTCCCAAAATGCACACACACCTACTGTAATTTCGCTCGTGCCTTGAATATAACATTACAATGCTTTTTAATATATATGTGGAGATTTGTTAAAAATGCAGTGTATTCTCAAAATACTGGGCTAATTCAGGTGTGGGGTAACCTGCTAAAGTATATCTGTTTGATTAAACAAAAACTCATAATTTCCATAGAGACCAACTGGTGAAGTTCTTAATATTGATTTTTTTTTACATTATTGAGGCCTAACATGACTAGGTTTTTTTTTTCTCTCTTCCGACCGGGGCTTGTAATGTTTTTTTGGGGGTATAAATCCCAACGACAGCCAATGAGCGTTGAGGCTCTAAAGATTGAGTGAGGCCTCGAGGAGCAGGCCTCCTGCTGGGACCGTCCTCGCACTGCGGTTCGCAGTTCATCAACTCCTCCCCCACATTCGGAGAGAAAATAAAACAACCGCCGGGAAGACTTACGCATGGGAAGGAATTCGTAATTTTTCACCGTTAATTTCATGGTGTCATAACACGGCTGTTGCTGCTGTTGTAGACATAGGCGTGGGATGGGGAGTGTGTGGGGGGTGGAGCAACCACGGGGGTGCATTCCACAATCGTACCAAGGCCAATCACACATCAGCAGCCCGACGGCGTTTTAAACGACGTTAATTGGTACCGAGTTGACCCGCGTGACCCACGCCCAGTCCCTCCGCCACCGTTCCAACGGCGATTCAAACGGGCAGCTGGAAGCAGTGCAAAGCTCAAAGTATTCAGGTGAGCAGAAGCTGAATTACCGTACCTCAAGCTTAAAAGTTAGAAATGTTTTAACAGTGCAAGGCAGATCCAGGTTGCTGTACTTCTAAAACCATTATTGGTTTTTACCTGACATAATTTCGTTTACAGTATATTAGCGGGCGATTTTCAAATGTTGGCTCTGGACTATGACACTGGTACAACTATAGCCTGTCCTTGTTTATGATGTTATAAGGTATTTAATATCCACTTCACAGCAGACTGTGTGTTTTGGCAATTCCCTGCAGTACATTCTGGATAATGGTGGGAATTGAACTGTGAACTCCAGCAAACAGGTTTAGTCACAACTAAATGCAAGGCTATTCATCTGATTTAAACGCCTGCTAATTGAGATAATGGCCTCCAATTAGGGCATTTCCCAGACCACGTTTAGCCAATAAAACTTTTCATTTCTGCATTCCTGGGATTTAAAAAAACCCATTTTGAAGCCTCACTTTGCAACATACATTTTTTGTATATCTATAAAAAACCCCAACAACTTCTGTGGAAAGTATTGCATGGATATGGGTAAAAAAACATATATTTAATTCTGGAATGGGCCGTGTTTTTTTTTTCAACAACCGTCGTTACGAGAAAAATCTAAATGAGTCTGAGGCGGCAGAGCGCCGAGCGCCTGTTGTTGACTGCGCGGCTTCCCGAGTGATGGCAAATATCCTCGGGCGGGCAGAGAGCAGCAGAGTTCACGGGCACCTAAATGCCACAGCTCCATTACAGGAAGTGAGCGGCAGGGCAGCACTAAGGAGATAGCCATGGGTTGGCACAGGAGGGTAATTCCTTTAACTGAATGAAAATCCTTAATGTCATTGTCTTAAAACTTTAACCTCAGCGTGGAAAGGTCAACGGTATTAAGTTTTGGGGTTTGTCATTTTATGGCCATTAGGGTAGAAATGTAAAAATAATTGTGATACGAAAAGCAATTAAAGCTCTGTTTGGATAATGCAAGAACACACGTAAAGACACACACAGACAAAGGTCCCCCATATAACCTTATAGGCTGTTGTGGAAAGTGCTGTTAGCGAGCATCTATGAAGTCCGGCATGCTGCACCGCACCCGGCCACCTTTGTCTCACCAGTGCTGATGTTCACCCGCTGCACCGGGTATTCATTTGAGGCCAAAACGAACTAGAAGATGCTTGCGACCAACTTAGATATTCGCCAACGATGCCGGCCACGAGCATGAATCCAAGGTCACCGAGTTTGTAGAACATTGCACTACTACACTGCCGCTCCGCTCATACAAACACGTAGACACAAGCCCACACACACACATAATAAGCACTGACATGTTACTGCCAAGCTCCTAACAGTTTAATGAGGTCAAATGTCAAGTCAAGCTTAAAATAGGAATGACGGGTCAACTTAGCTTGAGTCAATTACAGAATTATAGTCGTTAGCTTAAGCTGGGATATTCACATTGGCGTGTGGTGCCAGATCGGAGCTCAAACAACGAGAAGAAGAACAACAACAACCACCACCACCAAAGCTACGTGGCCACATCGATGCGTCACAGACTATCGAAGGAGGACACAGGGTGTCTGCTTAACGCGTCAGCGTGTGCGAAACAAGATGCTTCCCACGGACGGCACAGTAGCACCCCCCATTACCAAACCAGGAAATTCAGGGTCCTGACCCCGAACCTGTGAAGAACTTAAGAGCGGTTTCAGAGCAGGAGAATTAACATTATTAGGCCCGGGAAGGATCACTCAGTCGTGGAGAAGAGAGGCCGGCTGGCGAGTGTGTGATTGTGAGTCACAGTCGACTCATCCCTCCCTATGGGGTTGGTGCATTGTGCTCCACTCGGGGGGGAATTCCCGAGCGCCTGAGCTACGGAGGAACTGGTCCCTGCCGCCATAGGAATGTGAACTTTCGAGCACTTGCTCAGAAACGCTCACGAAGATGGGCAACCACACAACGCAAGGAAACTTTTGACTCGCAAGGTCATCAATGAACGCGGCCACGCGAGAGGTCAAATCAATCGTCATCTCGGCTCGGGGTCACCGAGGTGCCTCTTAACGGTTTCCAATAATGCCCCTTTCTCTGGAGCACTTTAACCCCAGCCCACTGCGTCTTGCGCCTGTTTGCACGTGTGTTCTCATGGCAGGTATGCGGCACGCTTTGCGAGCACCTATGAATGCCGGCACGGCGCACGTGGGTGTGGTGTGGCGTAGCTGTCCCGCAGTCGTTACGTAAAACGCACCCAAGATCTTAAACATCCACTTTCATGCGGATAGCGTGCTTTGGTGTGTGTGGGCTGTGTGGTTTCAAACGTGGTCCACATGTGTGCGGCTGTTGTGTGTGTGGTGAAGTGTGGCGCAGCAGTTAGCGCACTGCGCTACGAATCCAGCGACCCGAGTTCAATTCCCGCGCAAGGCCAACACCAGCGACGATTATATGAACTGGTCATGGGCCTCCCTTATGCCATCTCAGCCTGAAATGAGTACCTGGTGCAATGTGTAAACTTCGCCAGGAGGGAGACAAAGGCGACCGGGCGTGGTGCTGGCCACCCACCCCCTCGTGTGCCGCGCCCGCCTTCATAGGTGCTCGCTTTGAGCACTTGTCCAAAAAGACTGTTAAGGTTGTACGGGGGGGATCTTTGTCTTTGTTTGCGTACACACCTGTAGGCCGCAGCAGGCAGCGGCGGTGAGGATGGAGGCGTTGTGCACCACACGGTATGGAACCCCTTCCCGCACGGCTCGGAGCACCAGGTCACTGTGCGTCGTCGCCCTGGAGTCGCGACGTTTCGTGGAGACGATCGCGGGGCAAGGGAAGGGACGGCAGAGTGTGGCGCACAAGTTTACGTTTTGTTGCTAACACTCGTCTATATTTCGGTCGCGCTATGGGTGCCACGTGACAAAACAGAACTACTTGTAAGTATCTTTAAAAGGAAGGTTTATCCACATAAGGGGCATATGAACCTTATGGTGGTACCCCAGGGTACCATAGTACCCCGGCTCTCGCATAATGTCCGTGACGCAGTCATTTTCGTCTGTTGATGGTCGGCGATGCGGCAATTGACTCATCTCGACCAGCTGTACACGATGCACCGCTAAAGTGCGTAGCAGAGTTCAGGGTTTCAGTGCTATCGTCCTCACTGAGTTTCGACATTGCGGAGTAGCACTGATTTCGGACTGATTGGTATCCCAGTCGCGGAGTTAAGTACACCCCTCGGAAAAAATAGTGTCCCAGAAATCAAATATTTAATTGCTTCAGCCATTTTTGTATTATTTGGTACCCCAGGGTACCGCCATAAGGATCATATCATGCATGATCTGCAGTGCACTACCACTGAATAGTTTTTTGAACTGCTATGCGGTCGTGAGGACGATGGGTAACACGCAAAGAAACAAATCGGCAGACAAAAAGTCCGCTTTTGCACGTAAAATACAATTTACGTTTTGAGAGCTGGAAAAGGCCAAATTACGTGAAACATCTAATGTTATGGATTTTTTTGCGTGCAGGTAATGATGGTGACCAGGCTGAAACCATCAACTCGTTTTATTTGAGAAGACCGTTTCATTGCAAGTGGCTGCTCATATTTGAACCCCAGGTCTTGGCGGTGCCGGATCAGTGCTCTGACCTCCCAGCCACCAGGTCAACTCTATGTTTTTTAAGTTTGGCTTTTTCAGTTCCACTTCAGAACGCTTAACTCATGCGTTCACGTCTTTATTTACACATTTCCACCCATTCTGTGATAGCCACAAGATCCGTACAGCTGCAGTGCAATTAATAAACAGCTAACAGACTGAACACCTAAAATGTATTAAAATATATATTGCTCTGTTCATTGTTTGAATAAAAAAAAAATATTCAAACCAAATCTAAACACATACATGTATTCAAATTCCCCATGATCCACTTTATATGTCTCATGATTGACAAATTTTGATTGGCCTGTGGTCACTTTACGGCTTGAGTTCAGCCAGTATCGAGCAGTACTAGTCTGTATGTGCTTTCTGGTGACCAAGGGGAAGAACCTAACGCGCACGTGGTGGGAGAGCATCATGAGCACATCTTGGAGGCCACGTGTCGACTGCACAGCGGATGTGGGATTTGACGGAGGGTAAAACGCGCTGGCGAGGTGCGGTGGCATCAACGTCTTTGGCCACGATGACGCCTTCAACACGATGTGCTGCTTTCTGTGGGGCTAACGTTCCTCCCATTGGTTCCCGCACCACCGATGAGTACGGTTGGCTACGTACGGTGCGAAAGAAGTTCCACGTACGTACGTACGTGCTACGACTGTCCTGGCTATGGCGAGCCAACCGGGACGTTTGGGTAGCTCGACCGCCGGGGCCTCACCCGAACGGGTCGCCCACCACCAGCAGCGCCACGTCGGCGTCGCGGGCTTCCTGCAGAATGCGCTGCGTGTCCATCTCGACGGTCTCCCGGTCGGCGAGCACCACCTCTCTCCCGTAGAACTCCTCCTGCACGGCGCGGCACCCATTAGCACGGTTGGTTGGCGACGTTACGGTGCCAAAGAAGTCCAACACACGCACAGAGCGCCACCGGCCCACAGCTTTTGCGTGCGGCTCGGATGCCGTTTGGGCCCCACGATGTCTGCGGCTGCTGCCCACCCACAACATCGGCGTGTCCACGTCAATCGCTTTCCTTCGTCCACTGCTGCACGAGTCTCCCCGAGCCGGGCGGGTCATGGGGGTTATTTGAGCATTTTGTACCACGCTGGTCAATGTGGGTTAATGCAGGTGGGGACAATAGGCGTGGGAGCATAGAAGTACAGTATAACAGTAAAATATTTATGAACAGCCCTCTGGAGTGGAACACAAAACGCTGCAATAAAATATTTGAACTTGCCTCCTTTCTCAGCCTCCCCACCTCCGATTAGCACGGCTAGCGACGTACAATGCCCCCCACCCCCCCTTTGCAATAGGCAATTTGGCAAATGGGCTCGAACTTGAGAGACTGCCCATTCAAGGCAGATCTTCACCGACGCACAATAACCGCGGAATCTTCGTGGTATGCGTGCAATGCGAACAGCGATAACCCACAAACCACAGACGCGAGCCTACGCACCAATGCCTCCTTGCCCACGCTCAGTATGGACGTGTACGCCTCGAGGTACACGGTCCGGCACTGTCGCACGATCTCCAGCCCCTTCACAGTGATGTCCTTCGCATCGCCCAGGCCCAGGCCGACCAGGTAGAGCATCGTCGCGACACGGGGACACGAAGCCGCGGCTGCCTCCCGTGAGTAGTGACAGGCGCGTCTCGCCACACACTCCCCCCCCCCCTCACTTGCTCGCACTGCACAACAGCTCACACACCCCGACTCTCCTCACACTTGACGCCGCGCACTACACCTCGCACTCCATATGGCACACAGGCATCACACGCCTTACGCCCCGCTCTCCAGAACCCCGTGTAGCCCAAACAGAATGTGTGAGCGAGCACCTATGAAGGCCGGCACGGCAAACGAGGGGGCCTCGCACACGCAGAGTACAGAGCTGGCGTCACACTCGCAACACCGCTCACGCCGCCGGTTCGCGGCTGTAGCTATAACCCCGCTCTTCGTTCAGATATTCCGAAGCCACTGGCAGCTGTGCGCTTTTAAATCATCTAGAATGACAAACTAATTCCTTAGAGCTGCTTTTTGTGTTTTAGTTTGTTGTCCCCCACCCGCACCTCCGATTAGCACGCTTGGCTACGTACGGTACGAACGAAGTGCAGAGTAAAGTTGTACTGTACACACGAACTAAGCTCACGAGCAGCACCCAGCAAGACACAGCGCAACGCAAACTCAACGCACGTGGTCCGGGCCTGCGGAACCCGCTTTACGGCACCCGGGCGGACTCGACCATTGGGGGAGGTTGATCCGCTTTGCGACACTTTACCGCGGTTCGGCCGTAAAGCGGTTGGTATTTTTTTTCCCTCTCCTCCACACGAGGGCCGGCCCGGTCAGCTGTTGAAGTGAAGCCCCCCCCCCCACCGGCCCCCCCTGCCCCCCCTGGCCCCCCCGCGCCCCCTCTCACTACCACGCGGCCGTGATCGCTCACGGCCAACGAAGCGATCCGTCGCTCCACGTTCACTTCAAAAGCGCCGCCGCCGCTGCCGCCGCCGCGTGCAGGAGCCGTCTCGATCGTCCGAGAGCTGCACGAGAGAGGCACCCACTCGAGGCGACTTATAAACAAACTCGATAACAACAACAACAGCAGCAGCAGCAACAACAACAGAGGGGTCCGCAGCGACGCGAGCGCAGCAGCTCTAGTCGCCCACGACGAGGTCCTCGGCTGGGCGAGGACCGCCGCGTTGCCTCGCGGCTGCCCTGCGGCAAGCAGTTCCCCGATGGACGCGGGCAGCGCGCTGCCCTCGGTGGAGCTCTCCAACGGGCAGACAGTCCCCATGCTGGGCTTAGGTGAGTCCCACTGCCGCGGCCACACTGCTGAGGGCCCATCGACTGAGGAGGCACGCACACGTCTGTCAAGACTTAACCCCCCAACCACCACCACCCTGTACGCACGTGGACTTTCTATACCCCCCACCACGAATCCTATAGAACGGCCGATATGTAATCCACGCAGAAACGATCAAGGATTAATAATATTAAGGGGCCGTCCATAAATGATGTCACGCGATTTTGGCCGATTTTTGACCCCTCCCCCCCCCTCTTCACACGGCGTCACAAAGAGTCAGACCCCCCTCAAATATGACGTCACAAAGCTCTGCCCCCTCCCCCCAAAACCATATTTCCATTTTGAAAAAAAAAACATGCTTCAAATCGCTTTAAACTATTGTCAGTGTAGTGCGTATTTAATGTGGCGCTGCACTCTGATGTTGTAGAAGAAAACATTAAAAAGGCGTTGGAAAGCTGAAATTTAGCATAAAATTCACTTGAAAATATTCAACGTCTAACTAAAACTGCAGATGTTCAGAATATTATATTGAAATTATCTTATAATTATAAAATATTAAAAGTAATTATAACTATAAAAAATACTTGAAACTTTGTAGTAGAACGAAGCAAAATGGAGAGTACAATTATAACAATCGCATATTCATTTCACAGGATGAAAAGCCCTGGTAGAAACATTAGAATAATAATGTTTAATAAACAATCATTAAAACAATGTTCAAAATGTATGCTTCTCCATTCTCCCATGGAGAAGCAAAATGCTCCTTCATGGAATAAATAAAAGGTGGCCTTAGTAAATGTAAATAATTAAGTAGTTAATAATGAAAATTAATCTAAATTAGTGTTGTTATAACAAGTCTATTTACTTTTTGGTTCTTTCGGTAAAGTCACGTAGAAAGAAAAATAAATTAAATAATAGCATACGACGTTTCGATTGCAACACAAGCAATCATCATCAAGTACGAATGAAAGAGAAAACAAACCTAGTAAACTTAGAAATATAATGCAATACAGCACAGAGAGTCGGCCAACATAACAGTCAACACCCTACCTGGTTGATTACGTTCTTCCAAAGATTACTAAATTTGAGAGAGAGACAAAACACAGACACCGAGACACACAGACAGACACATAAGCAGAGAGAGACACACACAGAGACACAGAGAGAGAGAGACACACACATAGGTACACAGAGAAACAACGCCTCTGTGTCGAGGCCTTAAATAGAGAGAGAGGGGGGCAGAGAGAGAGGGGGGGGTAGAGAAATTCGCATGTAAATGAGAGATTTGGAGCTTTCGTGACTGCAGAAAATACTACAACACGAGGACACACAGAGAGCGAGAAAACACACTTAATCAAACAAACTTATCAACATTTGGAAATGTAATGCAGTGCAACACAGAGAGTCGGTCAACACACAACGCATAGCCTGTTTGATTACGTTCTTCCAAAGATTGCTAATCTTTGGAGTAAGGATGATGAAGTTCAACATACACGTCACACCGCTGTTGCAAGGCACTTTGGAGTCGTCCCACGGCAAAGCACTTTGCCAATTGATCGCACCCCAGGTGAAAGGACGCGGGAGCCTACAAATACAGTCCAACAATGGATTTTGCTCGACTGTTGCATGATATGAACAAATCACCCAGAATGTGCCCCGATCCTGGAAGCTAAGCAGGGCTCTTAAGGGCTAAGCCCAGGGTGTTATGCCTGGATAGTGCTTGGATGGGTTTATCACAATGCATGACTTGTGTTACAGGCTGTTGGGGGAGGCTTGTGATGTCGGAGGGATTATTTCATTCACAGCTGAGTCAACCTAGAAGAGACCTAAGTGGGCAGTTTCAGCTGAGATTGAACACAAGCCCTTTGGGTGGCGAGTATTCTGCAGTTAGCCAGATATCTCATTGCCCCTCACCCAACACATGGCCTCTATGCAAGCCTGATGAAAGCCAGCTGAATCAACAGCTCATACTTGTTCTAGTTTAATCGTGTTCATTGTCTGTGCGGTGGAATAAACGTTTTGAAATTCAAACTGCACTCAAGTACATTTATTGTTCAATGGAGAGGAATTCCGTTTGTTGCTGCCAGTAAACTTAATGATTTCGATTTCAATAATTCTCAGAATCGCTGTGTGATAAATGAAGCGATAGCAGCAGCACTTGACTGCAACCAGATGCAGAGCAACGACAAGGCGAGCGTGGTTTTATATTCATATTCCTCTCCAGCGTGTTTTTGGCTCGAGTTGCTATTCTTGGTGCTCTCCTTGGCAGGGAAGGACAAGTGTGCTGCGATCTCCGAGGGATGTTGGGCTGTTCTCTCGTGTGTCGCAGAGAGAACGCGCCATGCGTATGTTCTGGGCGGACCTGGCAGCGCTGAGAGCTATCGATCGTGTGTTGCTATTCCTTCATTCCCACGAACACTCCTAGGTCTCTCAGTCCCTGGCTGGGCCGAGTTATAAATAGACTTGCAATGGGCCCTCTCCTGGGACCTAATTCCCCTTCCCAAATATGCAAATACATATAACCAAATCACCCTGAAGCTGATTCGGGTTGAGCCTAGGTAGTGTTTTGTATTCCCAAGTGTTTGTAAGCTCAGGCTGCGAAGTGGCCCGAACATGGCCAGTGCATATTTTTCATTCAATGCTGCAACTTATTTCCAAGACAAATTATGGTCATGGGCAAACAGGTTTCATGTCGCTCAATGGATCTGCCTCATTTAAATCCCTGAACATCAATGAGCGGATGAGTGAACGATGGCAGTCTTATAACTGTGAGCCCAGACAGCCGAAATTGTGTAGGCAGTGACCCGTGACTCGCAAAGACAAACGTGTAATGCTTTAGGCAGCTCTTCCATCCTTTGATACGTGACGCTTGGCGCATATGGTTTTTAACTCTCCATTGAAAGAGATACGACGTGCAAAATCACTTAGATTCGTTGGATCCACTTGAGCACGGCTTTCTTTGTATCAGTGGGTACTTGGTAGAGCAATAGTCTTGCCAACCATAGGTCATCGGTGTTAGGGTCAACTCCGTCCATCATCTCTCCAGAGTCGGCAAAATGAGGACCAAATGATGAATATCACCTGTCAAGAAGTCGGCCATAAACTTCCGGCACAGAGACTGGGACTTGCCGTAGTGATGTCAAATTGTAACCGCTGGCACACAGGATCACCAACAGAGCCGATCGGCTCGAAGATACGTGATTGCATCATCGGTCACACATTTTTGGCGCAGAATCGCATTTAAAGGTTATTTCTGGGCATCATCTAAATATATACCTGATGCACGGTTGCGTTTTATTGCTTTGTTAATCTCAGTTTCTTTCAGTGATAATGCTCATTTAAGAAAAGCAACTGTAAGGGAGGCTTTGGTCATGGTCATTGTGTAGGAGCAGTTCAAAATCACGTGCAACTGGGTGTGTGAGAAGGTAGCATTTGTGTTGTGACACTGTTGGAACGTAGTGGTCGGCTATCGCTATTTACGTCTCGGATTTTTTTGATAGCTTTTCAATAACATGTTGGTATTCGTATATATCTCTTTGCGATGACAAACCCTGTAAACAAATTAATCTGGGCCCAGTTATTATTGAACCATTAGCTGTATGAACTGGCTCGGTGGTGAATGTGATGCCCACTAACACATATGGCTTCCCAATATAGAGAGAACGAGAGGGGGGAAATATGTCACGACCCTATATTTAGCTGTGCCAGTTGTTCCCACACTGAATTCCCAGGGTGTGCTCCTGTTTCCTTTGGCCAAATCACATACGGGCCCAGACTCTCCAGCTGTGGAAACGTAGACATTCACAAGAGAAGTGAATAATACGACATCCAGTATGGAAGGTTGCAGGGTGGGTGCTTGGGTTTAATAAACCAATGCACTTTCGAGTCTTGCAGTGAACATACCATCATGGGACCTCCTTTGCCAGTGTAAAAATATAATCATAGGTTTTCCCCTTTTTTCTGGCAACAAAACAGTTGTGTTAAGATGTTAAAACACCAAACTGAAACCTTTTGTAAGGAATCATGCCTGCATTAACCACATATACTTGTTTTGAAAATAAAAACAAAAAACATTTTTTGACATTATATGCATTGTCTTTGAAAATAAAAGCTGTCTCTGGTGTGGACCAATCAGTTTCAAAGACAATGCATATACTGCCAGAGGATGTTTTTTTTTGTATTTTCACCACAAGTATCTGTGGTTAATGCAGACATGATTCCTTGCAAAAAGTTTCAGTTTGGTGTTTTAACATATTTGTTTTGTTGCCAGAAAAAAGGGGAAACCCTATTCTTATATCTTCACGTTTAATGTGGAACACGTTGACGGCTGGGGCAGTGCTAATATTCTTCTCGGCCTTGTGGCTTTGAATGATTTGTCCGGGTGTTGCTGTTGTGACTGAGTGTGCTGCTCACATCTGGAAGGTTGCAAGTTCACAACCCTGTTGGAGGTCCACAGAGCCAATTATG